ACCTATACGCGTGTGTCAATCAGTCCGCCTATTCGAACATTCGTCTGCCTTCCGATCGGATCGTAGACAAATCATTATTCGAATGATTCTAAGTCTTAGAATCTGATCGAAAATGTCCGAGCGTTTCAGAATAACGGTGTCGGTGTCGTTGACATCGTGGGCTACATCGACTAGTAGGCGTCTAGAAATGCGACCGACTAATCGACGTTTCGACCTCGATGTAGAAGCTTCATTGTTCAAAAAACTAGATTGGGTAATTGCGGAAACAACGATTCCATCCGTTTACAAATCCCGTGTTCCGCAGCCTACCATGAAAAACCTATCTCGCTCAGTAAGATGTCTGAGGAACGGTAGTAGATAAAAGTTGTACCGCCGAAAGAAGCGCAGTACCAACGTCAAGCTAGCAGCAATCCAAGGTTGAGAAAAAAAATTGGCCCGACTCTGCTTCTCATTTTCAAATCTTGGAGAGCTTTCTCGGCATACAAATTGTTCCGAGAACTCGTCAAGCCGGCCATACATTAGTGAAATCACTTCTCTTCCGCTCGCCTGTCAATCTTTAGGCCATTTGCTATTTTTTTCTCAATCCAAAAGACACGCGGATAACTCACAGACAAAATCGCGACCGTAATATTTGGTCTTTGGCGAATCAAGAGCTTCTTCATCATCTGTCATGACATCTCTTCGGGTCGTCATCGGTACGTGTCAGAGAACTCTTCAAGGGAGGGTGTAAAGACTCTGAAAACCGCCAAAGTGGCCCAGAATCATAATCTCCGACGAGATTCCATTCCCTCTCATACTCTCTGATCTACCAAAAAGAGTTTACCCCCTGATCAAGACGCGATATCGGAAATATTCGACTGCTCGATAATCATCATGGATTCTAACGAAGAGAGGGATAGAAAGAATGCATATATCGAATTGTTAAGGTCTGCTTGTTCGAGCTCTTAGGCGAGCTGTTTCGGGGTCATGGCGTCGAATTCTTCACGAGAGTTTGAGGATTACTCACAGAGCTCGTCATAATTATGTGTCTGATGAAATTCGCTCAACTGAGACCGACTTGTACATCGTAGATCTCTTGTCAATCATTCCCGGGTGTGAGCAACGAAAAAAATGCGTGCGGCCACTCACGGCGACTTCAATCAACGGACTGTGGGGATTTGACTAGACGATTCAAGTTTAAGGAGGCGGAACTACGAGAAGGTTTAACGAGAAAACAAAACATCGGATAACCATGGGTTTTCTGCGGAAGGAATCGAACTAATATGTGAAGCTAGAAGAAGCGGGTCCCGCCGCTCACACCTTCCAACGGACTTGTTGTATGTCTTTGACACCTCGTCAGAGTCATATCGATAAACTTCCATGGGTTCTGCGGTCGATACGATTAGGGAGAACATCAAAAACTAGATTGATTTATGTAGTTTCAGTAGTAGTGGTTGTTGTCAATGTATCATCTGTAGTAGGTTCGTCTGCTTTTATGAAAGTGTATATTTCTGAAGGTAACTCCCTTGTTATGCTCGTGGAATAGAAACTAAGAAAAAGCTAAAAATAGCCTTGATCAGCATCATCATCACCGCAAGACATTCACGCGCTCCTCACGAAATTCGAGCGATCGGTTTCTCCTTTGAAGCATCTCCTTCAATTGTCGAAAAGTATGATGCTCTATCCGAAATGATCTATAGAGCTCATCGGATGCTCTTCGACGTAAAACTCCTTAACAATTGCTCTTGCTCACTCCGTGGGCTCGATGCATTCCTAGCGAGGCCGTCGAGTCCCAGGTCGAGACGTCACAGTCTGTTTGAGACTCCATCTCGATCGTGTCGGGAGTCAGGCGTAGGTAGAACAAGTCTTTCCGACTGTCGCCCAGGAAATATCATTTTGCACTCGATCCGGCGCACGATGCAAGATTCGATTGAATCCGCGGAATTCTATGAGAATCGCGCGATCACGTTGGATTTCCACTAGAGATGAAACAAGTGCCATCATTCTTCTTCCTTAGTCCTGGCGTCATGAAGAGTCGATAATAAAGACAGTCATTCAGAAATCTAGTCTTGTCGGCTCGTCTCACCATGAAAAACTCCATTTCGATCAATAATTGTGTGTCTGGTTGGCGGGAGATCGTCTAACATGTCAAGAGTTCGGTGCTCTTCCAGAGACCTCCTCTTCCCGGTATTCAAGAAATGCCTACAGCGCAGTGGTCAAAAATCCACTACCGCGCGATCTTCAGGTGTCCCTTCCCGGATACTCGGGCCAAGTAGGAACATTCCTGGATCGGAGGCGCTATGAATTCCGAGCATCAGGATTCCGAGCATCGACTCAGCCGCTATTCCAGGGGGAAAAGGTCGTCTGCGAAACTCATGACGCGGAACTCAGGTTTAGTTGGAAGACTCTAGTCGACTCAACACCGCTCGGGTCAGCTCGCGGGAAGGTGGTCTCGCTTGCGCGTGGGGTGAGTTCGCGGGAAATCGAAATTCACCTTCCCGTGAGGGCCGGCTCAGCTTCTGCCCTCGTTTGAGAGTTTTGATCCGTTTCTGATCTATTCCTCCCTGATTTCATCGACTTCCTTTATCTAGAAAACGTCATGGTTCCGGCCAGGCGACGGATACCTCCCAAGAGTTCCGACGTCGGAGTTCGAGAGATTCACAGGCACATCTCCGGAAGGCCAGGGTTTCGGCCGGACCAGAGTCGATCCTCACATCGTCAGGTGTCATGTTAATTCAGTAGATGATCGGACGATGCTGCGATATAAGGACAAGTAGACCGCATGTGAATCCTGGCTTAATTGTCCGTCGGAGCTCGGAAGGAAGAAGAGAAAAACTAAATTGCATTTGGCGTGTCATGTCGGCAGATAATGTGTATGTGTCGTCGCCGCCTCAGACTGAATGTCACGAACCGGAAAGGGACCAACCTTTCGTCTATCTCTTCGTCTGTTTCTTAGTTCTCTGTGGCTTGCTAGTTCGTGGTCTCGGCGAACGACAATGGGCCATTATTGATTTCTTTCCTCTAATTCTCTCCCTTGCGATCAGCTGCGTTCCTCCATCACCGACCATCACTATTGCACTGATGCCAGTCAGCGGACTCCAGGTTGCATTGCTCCTCGTGCTTCAATAATAAAAATGCTATCACACAAGACGTGAGGAGCAAACCACAAATCGGCTTTTCGTCATCTTTCTTCAGGAAGCGCTTCCCTATACGAAGAAGCGGCTTCCTCCACGATTGCAACGATAGCCGAGGGGAACTATGTGAGTAGGGAGCAAAAGTATAAAAGTTCAAAGTCAAGCTAAATATCTGTAAGAAATTCTCAAAGCTAAAGACTGCCAGCCATGTTGACTCGACGTTCCCGGAGAGAATCTGATTCTCTGCGGACTGGAGCCTCGAAATATTCCCCACGCAATTGTTCGCGTAGGGACGAGGCATTCCTGTCAAGCTGGCTTCATGGGACGTCACCAACGGACCCTTGTCGTCGCCATAACTGCCATCCGAGGCTAGCGGTCGAGGAGAGGCGCTGATCTCCCTTTCGAGTCCGTCAGTGATTTTCCGTCGTACCAATGGACATTAGAAAATATATTATTGGGAATTTCAATGATGACAATCATAGCAATGATGGTAATAATAATAGTATGGCGTATGGTAGTATGACGATATTGATAAATGTAGAAATCGGTAATAGCAGCAGTGGTAGGAACGAGTGCGCAAAACTCGTTTCATTCATTATAGAGGCCCGGCATGATCAGATGTCGATGCCGTGGCCGTCATGGCGGCCGTGGAATACGCCATTTTTCCGTACATCCAGTACGAATAACCTATTTGTTGTCTCGCTGCAGTTGTTCGTGTACATCTTGGTGTCGCGAATCGATTCTCCGCTGTATTTCTTGACGCCGTGGGTGTTGTTGTTTGGTTGATATCAAAGTTATATCCGGCCGTAGCGATGTTGAAATCGATTTCTCATCAGTAGAAAAATCGGAAGTAATCATGATATTGTAATTATGAGTTGATTACAAAAACGTGATGTGATCACAAGAGGACGAAAGAGCTTGGCAAAGGGTGCCAAGATCTCCCGCATCTTCATTTGCTGCAACAGTTCTCTTCAGGTGTTTGTCTGCGTCTAGGTCTCCGTTATCCGCTCATGAATCATTCCACTCGCTCTCTCATTTCCAACATTCGTTATCGGCAATCTCCAGAGTTCGTCTGCCACCTTCATCATTGTCTGAACGAATAGTCTCACTGTCAACGTATCGATGTCAGTGGCGATCAGAGGCTTGATAGTCAGTCAGCCCGATCGGACTGTACTGTTCCATTTTTTCGGAGATTTGGCTTCGAGTGAACTATGAACTCGGATGATGCACCGGAGAAGCTTCGAGACAACTAATCGTTCCACTGATTCAGTTAAGGTGTTTAGGTGGTTGTAACGAACTTCCGGGCGTCAGCGACCTTCGAATCAAAACTACGTCACTGACTAACACATTAAGAATCGATCCGACGTTCGCAGTCCGCCTTCTTGTACCGTCCTCGATTCGCTGTCCGAATTCATGACCTCCCTCCTTGGATGAGCCCGAATGCGGAGTGAGTCTTATCTAGAGTCTTATCTTATATCGAGTAATGCATTGATGTTGTTCGCTTCTCGAATAGAATCGAGGACGGCTCCCTGCGGCGATGAGATTCCGTCGATTGATGGATTGATATATCGACAGCTTGTTAGGGTGGTGGATCGGTCTGTTCCTCGACGAACGGACCAGAAGAGCGAGCGATCGATCCACAAGTGTCTCGATCGATTGGTTGATGGATCGTGGTTATCAGATAGTAGCAGCTTTGTTGCTTTCGAAGCAAACACATTGATGACTCCAGACACATGGGTTGGCAATCGTGTGACCGATATCGTTGCTGCTCAATGAAAGGGTTTTTGCGTTGCTCGGAGCGGGAAGTCAGGATCCGAATCGTTGTGTCGAGAACATTGAAGATTGATCTTATCGTGAATAAATAAACGAGCTAGTGGTTGCTTAATTTTAGCACCACCTGAAGGGCACTGTGCGAGGTCGATCGGCGCCCTCCTTGACGAGAGGCTTGTGGAATTCTCGTCCGGGTCTAGAATGGATTGCGGCCCAGCAGTGCTCGCAGTAGTACTGTAAGCACGTTACGTTGGCGCAGAAGAATGGAGCGAATTTGCCTCCGCATCGAGTACCCTGACATTCGTCGCACATTTGATCATCCAATACGTAAGGTTTAACCTCCACCTGTCGAAAAAACAATGTTAGAATCGATTTGCAGAATTTGCTAAGGGAGGGAAAACGCGATGTGCTCGAAGCGCCCCATAGGATCCGGGACATAAAGTTATCTATCTCTCAGTACGGAACAGCGATCACGTTATGTTGATGACTCAGCGAGGAATGGCATTTCGGGGTGATGAGGGATATGAATAAAATGATCCGACAGGGATGTGTTGGGTACCGATTAGTTCCCATTCTAGGATTCCTCGAACGGACTACGTTCGGAACGACAATGACTGGGATCTTCAGCACACATCAAGGCTACATCTTACCCTCTTTTCGATGTCACCATGTTGCAGCTGAACGAAGCGCGCAGAGATCGCGGCGATATAACTTTGCTGGTTGGAAAACGCAACTCGTCCAGCCCCCTTGGGATACTTCAGTTCTGGGTCGGTGTCGATTCCAGCGTAACACACACCCCCGTACAGTCGATCCATGATCATGGCGAGCTCCACTGCAAGTCGAATCGATCATTTATTCAGTTTGTCTTCGTTCTGCACGAGACTCGAGAGGAAATAACTGTATGTGTATTGCTACAACCAAGCCGAGCTCCTGAATACCGGAGGCTTTATATGCGTATGTCTATGATAGAACATTAGGAGGTTGATCACGTGAATCATCGCTAAGTCTCGCCTAGATACGGCTCTGACGACGAGGATTCCGAAGTATTACTTTTCGGAATGGCAAGATACGGCAGGGAGAAATCCGGTGATGATCCAACTCGAACCGCTACGACTGTCTACGATCGATTCCGCGCATTGGTCGCGGTCGCACTCAGAACGTACTTGAAGGAAGTCGACAAAATATTGCGAGAGCGGAGGAGAAGCTGACAAAAATTAAATTTCGCAACTCCAGCGAGACCTCAGCAGCCACTCGAAACGGCCGACCGGAGCAACGAAAACAAAGAAAAATTGAAACAAGATTGAAACGGGCGCTTAAATCTGGGCTCCCGATTCGGAGCGACGAAGCCGCTGCTTTTTCCGCGGGAGTTCTACCATTGCCGGAGGATAAATTATTTCCAATAATACAATAATAACGCTGCGAGTCGCTCCAACTGACTGCGCGTGTTTTTCTTTCTTCAACGGACGGTGTAGTGGAGAACGAACTGTGGATGGCGACTAGTCAGACAACTCCAGAACGGAGCCGAAAAGCGGGAGAAGCACTAAGTTCAGAGAAGGACTCCGGCGGATCGGTTTCCCTGTATCGCTCCCCCGACCATTCGTTTGATTCGGCTGCTCGAGCGAAATAGTGGAAAGGCACTCGGGGCCGCAAACTCGGAACTGGTCCCCTTGCTTTTCGGGCTACTCCTTGTCTAGGCGGCTTCCCCCCCGGCTCGCTGCTGGTGTCGAAAAGAATAACAATCGAACCAATCGGCGAGCGGATGGAGTCATTCTCCCCCGAGCCAGCCTAGTCTCGTTTCCTTTCTGTTCGGGGTCGCAGTTGACGCTGGCGTGGCGGTCGTCAGAATAGCAGCGGCACGATGATGGGGATTGGGAGACAAGCGAGGAGTACGGAGGGCGGGGACCGGCTGGATGGAACGGAAAACTAAGTGAAAATTAAATTTCAAAATATTACATTCCGTCCCTGCACGACACCGCCACTCGTCTGCCCGCTCGCTTGCTGTTTGCTCCGCTCCATTCCCTTGCGCCTCCCGGCTGCCGCTGTTCGCTCATCCACCGGCGGCGGCGGTGACAAAACTTGTCATTCTCACTTCGGTTCCACTGCGCCTCGCTATTTGTTCGCTCCGTCTTCCCGTTTTGCATCTCGCGTGCTTGGCGTTAGTGTTGGTGGTCGCAAGTTCAACTGGAGAGACATGAAGGATGATAGACAACGTTGCGGTAACAACCATGACGAAAGGAGGTTCAACGTCTGCAACTTGTCTCCTGTTGCACTCCCTCACTTTCCCTAGTTCCTCGTCCTCATTCTTTGTTCCGAGTGACAGCTCGATTGCTTCGCGAGCTTTCTCCGCGCCACAGTCACCGTTAGCGAGCGGAGCGCTGTGACCGCTCAAACATTTCCGAATAGTGATTCCGGGAGCGTCAGCGATGAATTGCAATATTTGTTCCGGTCGGTCTCACTGAGACTGGACAGAGCACACGGCATGCTCCGCTAGGTTGCGAGCTTCCGATAGTTTTCCGAGATATTTATCCGCTGATGATGTTTTACAGCCCACCGCTCGAAGAGCTGAAGCCGAAGCCTCCCCTCACGAGATCGTAAGACAATCTGATAGGAGACCCGATTTTCTGAGCCGGTAGAAACGGAGATTCCCAGCCTCAGTGAAGCTCGCAGAGCATCATGAAGGGAACTACATGAATAATAGCGTTGCCCGCAGACAGACGGAGTACAATGACGGCACGACGCCCCGCGCTGACGGATTGTTTCCTTTCCCTCTGAGCAGTGCTTCTGCGTCGCAAACATTCCCGCGAACACGCACAAAGGAAGTTTTCCTTGTGTCGTTAGAGGGGACGTATTCGATTACTGAGAGCCGTCCTCTTCCTTTTTCGTTTCTTCCCCGCTCTCCGATCTCATAATACGCTTTTCCTCGTCTCTCCTCTCGAGATCTTCGGCTGTGTTGCTAACGATGCGTTCTTCTTTTCCGCATGCCCCCCTCCCTTCGACTTGGCGGATCTTCGACGTCTCTCATTGGCATCGCAGTAATTGGCTTGTCCCCTCAGATCTCACTTTTCTCCGATAGCGGGGCAGAAAGATGTACATACATATATTCGAGCGGGCTGTTTATTCTGTACGCTTAAAGTTGGGCCCTAAACCGTGTATGCGCTCCCTCTCGAGGCTCCGAGTGCCGAGTCGTGGCTGTCCTCATCTTTCGCGACGTCATCAACGTCGCCGCACTCTGTGCCCCAAGGTGTTGATCTTTGCTTAGTTGCCTCTCATCCTTGATTCCTTTCTATGTCGTCTCTTCTTCGGGATGCGGCGCAGAGAGCGACGAAGCAATAAAACGAATCGAATCGACGGGAACCCTGTCCGCCTTCTTCGGAAATGAGAGAAAGTGTTTTCCTTGATCCGATCCGTTTCCCCTCGCCCTTGGCTGTGTTTTCATTTCGGTTTCTGCCTCAAGCCTGATGCTCCTTTTGGGACTCCGCACTCGGGTAGCGATTGTGTTTCAATTCCGAAAATAACTAGGAGGAAGCCCCAGATGTTTCCAGGAGCCTCACGCGTAGTCTCGAGATTGAGTCAAGAGAAACCTACATCGAATCCCGACCTGAGCCTGGGTAGTCTTCCGATGACGGCTGCGTGGGCATATTACTATAAGGGCATCTTGTCCACCATCCATCCAACAACTTCACAGTCTTCCCATGCTGCTCCGAGAAGATCCCGACTCGTGCCCCGGATGCCTACGCGTTATTCCGTGAAGCTTCCTTATTTGAACATGCGAGCAGGTCGAGGGGTAAGAACTCATTGAAGAGAGAATCGGGGCGAGTGGACAAACAGTGAGATTTTTAAGATCTCTTTTACGATCCGGACCAGCGATCGAGGGCTCTCGCGATTCCTCTCGATTCGGGATTCGTGAGTTCCCATGAGGCGGTCTGCGATCTTCTGAGGTCCTCCGACTCGAGACTCCCGATCGGAGCGAACGAAGACTTCGCTTTTGTTGCTCGTCGGTGTGCTATTTGTCAAAACCGACGCCTCCAACTATTGCGATCTGAGCTCCGTTTTTCCCGGCCCTCGATCCAAACTGGAGGGGCCGTCTGCGATAATTGGGCACTGGACGATCTCATCGAGCTCAACACTCAAGAGGACAGCTCCACAATCATGGCAAGTGGAATTGAAGAAGATTTCCACGTGAAAACAAGCTTGAGGAGGGACATTCTCAGGGTCTTGAAGCGAGTAAACAGAATCCTTGATTGAGAATGAAGGAAGAAATTCCAGCTCAAACAATGACCACCCTGATCAGATACCTCGCATGGGGGGGAAGCTGATCCGCGAGGAATAGCCGGACAACCTCCGCGGACCTTGTCGCCAGTCTCATCCTTATTTTGAGCCGATTCTCCTGGCGATCCTCCCACTGGTACCTTTAATACGTTGTACTATTTCCTTCGTCGACGCTACGCGGAAAATGGCTAAGCATAGTGGGCGCCGGCACGGCCAACGCCAATGATGAAGGAATCAGCATAGAAGAACCTCCCGACGCAAGCTGCCGACGGAGCGAGCGGGGAACGACGTCTAGAAGTAAGTATCATAACGACGACAACAGCATGGCTGTCGTCACCGAAAACTGCAACCGCAGCGAACAACAACGAGCGAGAGTAGAGGAACAAGGAGAGGGAATAAGGAAGCAAGCGCACGGATGGCATGCCACCCCTGTCAGACCGCGCCTGCAATCTATGCTGCGCTCTATCCCGCAATGCCGAGTCCCAATTGGTTGTTGGTAAGTAGATGCAAAAGCAGCTCGGACTGTCGTCGACGACTGCCTCCGCCGAGTCGAAAGTGGTTGTCTGGCTTTTTTCTTGTTCGTTTTCTCCTCTTCTCGGGCACGTCTTCATTTCCCGCTGTCATGTCCTCACTTTCGTTCAAAGAGATCTGTCATCTCGCTCTTGTCGCACTTGTCGTTTCGACATTCTCGTAGTTGAGCAGCGGAGTGTACATGGAGATTACGTCTCCACTGAGCGGGGTCCTCTCGTTAATTGAATATTGCTTAAGCGCCCCGAATGACGTCGACGCCCCTGGAAGTCAGCGAATGATCGACGATTTCCGTTGGGGGTCACGGATCAGTGGGATTTCTTTATGACGAGATGAGCTGCTCGACGAGTTTCGGGTCCCGGACGAAGAGGAGTTCCGCAAAATCCACGACGTTTCCCGCAGCTTGAGATGCTCGAGCTCGCGACGTAGCTCTTGGTCGTCGGGTCGGCTCGACGCTCGAGCGAGCGACCATTCGCCGGCGCGCTCGGCTGTCTTTTCGTCCGTTCATCACACGGTCGGACAACGGATCGTCGGGCACAGATGGCAGAGGGCGGCAGAAGCTGCTTCCTAACGCGTTCGCTCCGTCTTTGTACGCAACGAAGAACATTTGCATATCTTTGTCTTCTCCACACACGGCCAGTGAGAGTGTTTCCTCCACCACACTAGTGAGCCCTCAAAACTCCGCCAGTCCCTAATTATAAAGTCAGTCGTCTGCTGTTGCCTCCCGAAGTCGGGGTCTCATGCTCAGGTGCTCAGAAGACGGAGGGGAAAAAAGAAGGAAGAGGCGTCCTTTTTAGGAGGCACCTGGTGGCTTCAGCGAGCGAAAAATCTCTTCCCTCTATAGTTTGGAACAGTCTCATATTCAGCGAGCCCACACCACCATGTGGCACTTTCGCTTGATATCACAGTGATATCACCGGACTGGAGAAGAGTCACCGGAATACGTTTATTCTGGTTTCGACCGTTGCGTTGCTTGAATTTTCCTCTCCGAATAATTAATTTTCGTCACAGCGCAGCGTCCGGGGTCCAACGCTTCACGCACGGCTCTTGCGGACTACTTCGCGCATAGAGCCTCGTCAATAGCGGGGTCCGAGCGTTGTAAGGTCTGGAGGAATATGTTGCATCTTATGTAGGACACACGTTTTCCCTCCCCCTCCCCAACTGCTCGACTCGTTCCCCTAACCGCCGCGTACTCTCGAAGCACTCCCTTCTCAACGGCATATCGTGATACATTAGCCTAACTGATGACCTGCTAGCTCAAGGAAGGCGGCACTGCCGAGCATGAGTGGCAAGAAGAATCGAGAGAGTGTGGGCCTTTAGTATATTAGCTCGAATTGGCGGATGGATGCTCATATGAGGAGAGAAGATGAATGATCACGCCACCTAAGCAAAGTAGTCGTCGCCCCAGAAGTACTCACCAGCTTTGAGAGGTCGCGGTACACCGCCAACAAATACTGTCTTCCGTGGATCTAAAGGCAAAGATGCATCCAATACAAAATCGGCATCTGATAATCTCCAGGGTCGAATTTGAACTGGCTTGTCCTTGATCGTCGGAGAGGACACGCAAAGATATAGCTTGTCATCCTCCTGGATGCATGCGTCGATGAGAGCCTGCACGGAGGGCTCGTCCTGTGGTAATAGAGACGAATAATCAGATCGGAGAAGTCGAATCCGCCTCAGGACCCCGGCGTCGGAGATGAGGCCGACTATGCGGCGCAAGAAATCGCTCGATCGTTGTCGAGAGAGACATAGAAAAACGGAAAAGGGCTCTCACCTGGAACAGTAAGAATGCATAACCTTTGGGCGGGAAGTAGGATTTCGACTCAGCCTTGTGCGGCCAGTCTACCACCAGCGGCCCGAATCGGCGGAAACTGGCAGTAATTTCTTCTTCGTCGATGTCCGGAGGAAGACCTCCTACGAAAACCTTCCGGGAATAACTTTCCCCCAAGCTGCTGCTGCCGGTGCCGCCCACCGAGCTGTGGTGGTGCGAGGCTACAGACGACTTAGGGGAACATCTGAAAATAAAGAGGCGAATCTTGAGTAAAAGACTCGACTCGTACCGCACCAGACATGGATTATACTAGCCCCCGATTCAAAAGAATATCAGGGTCGAGATCCTGCTGATCTTTCGGAACAGAGCGGAGCGCTTGCCAAACGAGACGTAGAATCCACCGCCCGAACTCCGAATTTATTCACCAATGTTTTCGGATGGAACCCAGGAGAATACCCAATTCGAGCCGCATTCGTCGACGAAACTGAAATGAGCCGATGGCTTTCTAACGGGAGGGACCCCGTGAATGGATGGATGTACGTCTGCGTTGCTCTGAATGCACACGTAGTCGAGGTGCGTGGGGTGACTAACGAAAATCGTTTGATGAACTTGGTCACGCTTCAAGTATTTGCTAGACGTATCGATGGCGGTGCGAGAGCGCATCAGGTCGACTGTGAGGTCGACTGAAGACGGGGAGCTCTCGATAAGACGCGAATTATTCCGAGTGCATGCGTCCGTTCGCCGGATCGATTGATGAGTCTCCTTTGAGTCAATGCCACGACTCAGTCGGAGCTCAGGGCGCTCGGAGCAAGATACGTACCTGAGGGATGCTGCCACAGAAGGGGAAATATTGGAAGAGGCGTGATGCGGATGAAGTGAGTCCATATGACCGTTGCTGGCCAGTTCGGCACAGCCGTTCACGTCCAGCAAGTCTCCGTTGGCGTCGAGTCCGGAGAAGAAGGGAGCCTTGCCTCCCGAAACGCGTATCCCTTGAGCCCTTTGAGAAACTGCAAGAGGGAAACCATGTTATCCTGACGCCTTATTTCAGATGTCCAAGCTTAGTCTATTCCCTGACGCGGGTTGATGTTTGTCAAGGTGACTTGCAGCTCAGTTCGAGATGCATATTCGCATAGCCATCTGATTCCTTAATGGAAAGGCTCGCCGTACATAGTACTTCATTATGCTAATCGTTTTCCCGGCACAACGTGGATCGGGCAACCGATCGGGTCGGACACCGAACACGGCGGAACGCGAAGAATGCAGCGCTGGTTGTGCGAGTCAGGGGACGAGAGAAGACTGGGAATTTCTCCGACAACCGAAAGCAACGTCGAGTAGGAGTCGTATCAATTTGATTTATTTGCCTCGTACCATCCGAAAAGGAAAATCCCCTCGCGCGCCCACTCTCCTGATACTCGATCCGATAGAAATATCTCACGGCATCTGCGGTTGAGACAGCGAGCGCAGGGACAGAGGACGCGACAGTCTATGCGTTCGAACGTTCACTCATCCTTTATCGAGAAGGAGAGGAATTCTTCGCGGAGCGCCGCACCGCGGAGACGCGACTTCTTGCCTCGATGCGTCGTTCTCCTCTTTCCGTTCTCCTTCCCGTATTCTCAACGTCTCTTACATGTTCATTTCCAGTGCGGATAACCCGATCCCCTCGGCCAACAATCCCAGAGATACTGCCACGGTGGTGGGAGCGCCGAGGCAGCTATGGAATAAATCGTCAACTACGGTCGGTGGAATCTAATAACGAGAAGTCATGGCTCGGACATCTATTGGCAGGAGATGGAGGGTATTCTCTCTTTCCGCTGTGTTGCAAAACTGCGCGTCTCGTTGCGAGATACGTATACATATGCATGTACGTACGTACGTACGTACATAGGTACATACGTATGCAACGCTTGCAAGGGGAACAAGACTGACATCCTTGCATGCCTGAGCAGGGTGTGAAGTTCCGCCAGCCGTCAGTCGGAGCAATCGAAGCAGACCGCAGCGTTTCCATCAACAGAAACAGAGAACCCGGCGGCGAGCTGGGCTCCTCCATCGACTATGGGTACCGGGGCGACGAGCGGATGAGGCCATCGCGGTCGGGATGGGAGCTGTACGACCTGCGGGCGAGCTTGTTTTCGGCATCGGACATTAATATTTGAGCATCGTCTTCCTCATTCTTCATGAGTCGCTCGCGAAGACTGGGATGAGCCCGGGAGCGACGGTGACACCGTCTTGGAGGCGGGTGTCGATGAGCTATTAGTACTGGGTCGTTTTCCTTGTTCTCTCGCCATCGTCTTATCGTCATTGCTGCCAACCCACTACTCCGCCGTCGTTGGATGAGGCGGTCTCTTCTATATTGTAATGTGCCAAGTATGCGAGAAAATAGGCTGACGGGCAGGCTCGAACGAATGCAGCCGAGCGTGGCCCGCGGGAGGTGATCGACAGCCGACGCAGATGACAAGGAGGATTGGCAGGGGTTTATAAATATATGTTTTATCCATCATGAAGATCGCGTACTCGTACGCGACCAACCACGCTAACCAGAGGTCTGGTGTTTCTCTTATTCTTTTCCGGATAGGACAGACGGCAGGATGCACGAGGGCCCGGAATCATGTCAAGGATGCGAAGCCGGTGCGTCGTTTGTCAAAAACTCGTTACCGTGTCGGCGACGCGCAGGAAAGTGACGTCGAAGCCGGTGCAGGTTCGGTTGCGATGGGACTTGAGAATACAATGGAGTGCCATCGGTCGACGTCGGCTCGCAAAGCTCCGCCACTGAGATAAGGACTCGAAAAAGTGCGGAACTCATGCAAAGCAAAGTCCATGCTCACATTCATACGAATGGTTCCCAAGGGTGTTAGTGTGAGGCTAGTTTGGCGGAGGGAAAGCTGACCGACCAGTGTGACTGCATGAGCTTATCCGAGCTGCTCGTGATACAGAGCGAACACGAGCTGACTTGATGACTGTTCTCTCTGTCTCCAGATGAGAATGGGAGATCTCGTTCGATATGAACGAGAGCGAAGACTACGAGCAGAATAGCTGCAATAGATCGACGTCGAGCGCTCATGATCACATCGCGCCAGTCTGCGCGGGACTGATGTGGGCTTACTCGGAGTAGATCTCCAGGGTCTCGAAGAGCGGTCAGAGCTCAAACAAGTCTTCCCGATCTTGGGATCCGTTAGGATTTCACTCGGCTCAGGCTATCCGACACGGATTCACAGATCCTAGGCTAGATCCTCCTGAAGTGAGACATGGAGCCGCTCTCTCGTATGAGATCCTCGAAAGATCCATGCGATCATATCGAACGGAGATGAAAATCAGCGCATCCCAATCGGGAAAGGGGGATGAAATAGGGTGAATTCCGGATCGGACGAACGTCTCAAGATTTCATTTCTCCGGGCCTTAGGTGAGTCCACCAAGAGGTGATTCCAGGGAAGAGAGGATAAATTCCGTTGAACTTTCCTGAGAACTACCGAATCGACTTTTTCCCGGTCCATACTGAGGACGGGTGCGCATTGACGCAGGCAAAACTCGCGCATGAGAGGCTCCGATGAAGCTACCGCATCGGCGGTGACGACGGGAAGCGAGAGGCGTAAAGGGTCGAAGAAGGTGCCGATTCCCCCGGAATTGACGGTTCCGTCGCTTCTCGAGACTTCTTCTGACTTTTCTGGCGGGACGACGGAGTCGACTGAAGTAAGAGGGCTGTCGTCACGCATCCATATGAGGCGAACTTGTTCCATTTTCCTCGGGAGCCTCGGATTTCGAAACAGAATCTTCTCCCGGGAGATGGAGACCAATGTGCTGGGGCCGCTTCCGAGGCTCCTCCTGACTCGCGTGGAGCCCTCACAGAGGCTCAATTCCAGTCACGGGAACACATAATTTCATTATCGAAATGGTGGAATTAATGAAATTATGTGGATTCAGCTTCACGGAATGGTGCTCAAACTAATGCCTTGGATCGATCGATGCAGCCAAGATGTGTTCCCTGTGTGCATGCCAATGAGCGACGAGATCCTCATATCTCTCATTCGAATGTCCCGTTAGCCCCGAACCGACCTCGGGAAGAAGACACACTCCGCACTAGTGGCGTGCGTCCGTCGTTTCAAGAGCGAATGGCTCGAGTCGAGCCGCTCGACTCGCACCAGGTTCCACCAAGTTACAGATGTGCAACCCTCTCGCCACTCCAGGTAGCCGACGGTCATGCGCTAGAGCTCCGGTTTCACTGTTCGAATCCCACGAGCGAACCAAAGGAAGCCACGAGGGATCGCGTGTTTTCGCCTTTCGCTCTCCTCTCGGAAAACTAAGCAATAACATCAGCGACGACCTCAGCTGCACCCTACAGCTGAGTGCCGCGGCGAAGTTCTAAACATCGGAAGGACAAACTCAATGAACGAAACGAATCAGCCGAGGGGAACTTTCCACGCTAACCCGCATTGATTGCTCGTTAGCAGAAATTGATTAACGTCAAGGGGAACAAATGAAAATTAGGAAGACCACCCATTCGACTTCCAGTCTAATCTCCGTTCATTCCCCGCGTTCAGTCTCATGAATCCTCCTCGTCCAAGGGCAAAGCGGCGGGCGGAGGACGATTCGAAAGACGAGCAATTCATCATGAGCAGCGTCGACGTCGTCAATGCCGCAATCATGGCCATCAACATGCTCGTCGTCGTCGGGAACAAGATGCTCTTTCTTTGGATCCTAATCATGACGTCGCAACTTTTCCGAATACTCGATGGAGCTGCCTCGATTGGCAGTTATTCAGCCGGCAGCTCGGTACGGTAGTTTGTCGGAGATCTCGTTTGTCCGTCCTCTTTCGTCCCGTCTTCCCGTCTCCGAGCCGAATATTCATTTTGGCCAGGAAGTAGCTTGATTTGGTCAGAAGCAAACGTCGCCGTGGCGAGTGCACACGGCTGTGGCCACGTCTGCCTGACTTCCCCTCGCTATTTTCTCGCTCTCGACATATTACTACTGTTCACGCATCTCGCACGCTCCAATTGGACTTCCTGCGGAGCTTATTGGGCCTCTCTCTGCTCACTTCCTATACCGCTCTTTTTCTCTCTTTTGATGTCTAGCACTCATTTACCCGGAGCGGGACCAGTAAATAGTCTGGTCCCGTTGAGGAGCAGTCAACTGGAACTACAGTGACATTCGTTCCACGGGCGATTCGATGAGCGAGACGGCTCCATGGCGGGCAGCGAGCGGGAGCATGAGCCCCCAACTCGGCATCGTATAATGCCCAATCTTATGCCCATGTTTGATCGAGGATACCTAGATCTTTGGCGATTTTGTCGGGCTTCCTCGGAAGATGATCCACTGGGAGTCACTGCCGCTGCATTAGAAGGCTTCACCGAAATCCGAGACGAGAGCGTCGGTCACGATCGAATGAGGGTCACGGCGGCGACGTAGGCTCCTCGTTCGCAGACTCCTGCAATTCCCCCAAGGTGACCTTCCTCTCAGTCAGAGCACGCGCGAATTCGAGTGTCTCCCGTGAACTCTAGCCAGGGAGATGTGGGGACTCCGGAGTGAAGCTCGACAAAATGATATCATCACGGTCAGACACCGTCTCTTGCGGTAACGAGCAGAGCAGCGACTTTTGTCAAGGGAAGCAACCGTAAGCGTTTCCGGTCGGGTCATCAGGAACCAGCAGAGGAAAACGTGCCAATCAGCAATCCCGCGGCAAAAATAGCTCATGTGAGCAAATACGACGATTCCCATTGACACTCCCACCAAATGTTCGATCTTACCAGGTGTATGCATATGAAATGAGACAATTTGAAAAGCCCGCGCTCCGGCCGCTGCGGCGAACGTGGAGAAACTCTATATATCCTATCTCTCAATCCAATCTTCGGGCCATAATATCCGATAGGTGCTTGATTCGCACATCGTTGTCTATAAAATTTCCGACTCACTGATAATGTCCGATTTCGACCCAAAAATGCTCATCAGCGGGAAGCGCTGATTTTTTGTTTCCACCTCGGGAAAACTGCGACGGAGGCTCATGAAATGCTCGGCAGAGCTTACGGTGAACGAGCCCTTAGTCGCGCTCAAACATTCCGATGGTTCCTGAGATTTGGGAATGGGAATTTCACTGTCGAAACAAAAGATCGTGGGAAACCTCCACAGAAATTCGAGGACCTCGATCTGCAAGCATTACTAGACGAGGATGATACTCAGAGCTTGCCGAGAGACTCGCCGAGAGACTCGGCGTTAATCAATCGACGATCTCCAGACGGCTCCACGAAATGGGGAAAATCCAAAAGCTATCCAGATGGGTTCCTCATGAATTGACGGAAAGACAACAAGAGGCCCGTAAGACAATCAGCAAAATCCTTCTCGATAGATTCAAAAGGAAATCATTTCTGCATCGCGTCGTCACTAGCGACGAGAAATGGATATATTTCGAAAATCCGAAGCGTCAGAAATCGTGGGTGAACCCTGGGGAAGCACCTTCGAGCACCGTGAGGCCGAGCCGCTTCGGGAAAAAAGCAATGCTGTGCGTTTGGTGGGACCAGCGTGGAGTTATTTACTTCGAGCTTCTGAAGCCCGGCCAAACAGTCGACAGCGATCGTTACATCCAGCAATTGACGAATTTGTACTATGCCATGCGTCACATCCGTCCCGAAATTTGGTCATGGCGCGAGAGAGCAATCTTGTTGCACGACAACGCACCCTGCCACACTTCTAGCGACGTCTCGCGGACCATCGAAAGCCTGAACTGGGAAGTGCTACCCCATCCCGCTTACTCCCCAGACCTGGCCCCGTCCGACTACCACCTGTTCGCAGCAATGGGTCATGCACTTTCGGAGCAGAAGTTCGAGACCTTCGAAAATGTTCAAAATTGGGTGACCAATTTTTTCGCCTCAAAATCTCTAGAATTTTATTGGCGCGGAATCCATCGATTGCCTGAGAGATGGGCGTCGTGTATTAGCAACGACGGCGCGTACTTCGAATGAGATCAGTTCTTCTGATAAAAAATTACAAACTCGAGTTTTCAGCAAATTTTGTCTCATTTCATGAGCATACACCTGGTACAGACAGCG